GTATTTGATAAGCTGAGACTGCTTTTGGCACTTTTGACATGTTCGATCATTTTTCAAATATATGCGAAAATTAGTATACTTTCTTGTACATTACGATATCCAGGAGTGATTTTCGGCTACGCTTCTTTGGAAATTCCTACGGTTTTTCTAAAATCGTCAGTTGAAATACAGATATTTTAAAGATTAACGCTTTTTTACTTTTTTCATATTCTAGTTTCTATTATTAGTTGCCACTCTCACTAGACAGATGAACATATTTAGCCCCGCCCACCCACCCCATCTCCTTTTCAGTGATTGATTTTATCCCATGTGAATCAAATGAATGATCTTATACCGAACAGAAATAAAATTGGTCGTTAGAATAAGAAAAGAGGGGGTGGGCGGTGCTAGTACCTGCTAAGAAGAGAGTAATTTCGGCTTCGATCCCTTGGAAATTCTTACCGTTTATCGAAAATCGTCAATTGAAATACAGATATTTTAAAGATTAGCGCTTTTTTGGTTTTTCACATCCTAGTTCTATTATTAGTTTCCACTTCCACTCGACAGAAGAACATATTTAGCCCCGCCCACCCACCTTGTCTCCTTTTCAGTGATTGATCTCATCTTAATCTTATACTGAAAGGAAATAAAATTAGTCGTTAGAATAAGAAGAAAGGGGGTGGGCGAAGCCAGTACTTGCTAAGATAAGACTGATTTGGCAGATGACATACCTTCCAAAAAAAATAGATTAGCGCTTTTTGCTTTTTTCATATTCTAGTTTCTATTATTAGTTTCCACTCCCACTCGACAGAAGAAAATATTTATCCACGCCCACCCACCTCGTCTCTTTTTCGGTGATTGATTTTATCCGATGTGAATCAAATGAATGATCTTATATTGAACAAAAATAAAATTGGTCGTTAGAATGAGAAAAGAAGGGGTGGGCGGACCTAGTACCTGCTAAGCCCAGAGTAATTTCGGCTTCGTTTCCTTGGAAATTCCTATCGTTTTTCTAAAATCGCCAATTAAAATACAGATATTTTAAAGATTAACGCTTTTTTACTTTTTTCATATTCTAGTTTCTATTATTAGTTTCCACTCTCACTCAACAGAAGAACATAATTAGCCCCGCCCCGTCCACCCACCCCATCTCCTTTAGAGTAATTGATTTTATCCGATGTGAATCAAATGAATGATCTTATATATATTGAACAAAAATAAAATTGGTCGTTAAAATGAGAAAAGAGGGGGTGGACGGAGGTAGTACTTGCTAAGGCGAGAGTAATTTCGGCTTCGTTTCCTTGGAAATTCCTACAGTTTTTCTAAAATCGTCAGTTGAAATACAGATCTTTTAAAGATTAGCGCTTTTTTCTTTTTTCACATCCTAGATTCTATTATTATTTTCCACCCCCACTCGCCAGAAGAACATATTTAGCCCCGCCCACCCACCCTGTCTCCTTCTCACTCATTGATCTCATCTTAATCTTATACTGAAAGGAAATAAAATTAGTCGTTAGAATAAGAAGAGGGGGGGTGGGCGAAGCTAGTACTTGCTAAGATAAGACTGATTTAGCAAATGACATACCTTCCAAGAAAATAGAGGGCGGGTGGGCGGGGCTAGTACTTGGTAAGGTAAGACTGATTCTGGCAAATGACATATCTTCTAACAAAATAGAGGGTGCGTGGGCGGGGCTAGTATTTGATAAGGTGAGACTGATTTTGGCACTTTTGACATGTTTGATCATTTTTCAAATATATGCGAAAATTAGTTGAAGATTCTTTCTTGTACATTTCGATATCCAGGAGTGATTTTCGGGTGCGTTTCTTTGGAAATTCCTACCGTTTTTCTAAAATCGTCAATTGAAATAGAGATATTTTAAAGATTAATGCTTTTTTACTTTTTTCATATTCTAGTTCCTATTATTAGTTTCCACTCCCACTCGACAGAAGAACATATTTAGTCCCGCCCACCCACTCTGTCTCCTTTTCAGTGATTGATCTCATCTTAATCTTATACTGAAACGAAATAAAATTAGTCGTTAGAATAAGAAGAGAGGAGCTAGGCGAAGCTAGTACTTGCTAAGAAAAGAGTGATTTGGCAAATGACATACCTTCCAAGAAAATAGAGGGCGGGTGGGCGGGGCTAGTACGTGGTGAGGTAAGACTGATTCTGGCAAATGACATGTCTTCCAAGAAAAGACAGGGTGCGTGGGCGGGGCTAGTATTTGATAAGGTAAGACTGCTTTTGGCACTTTTGACATGTTCGATCATTTTTCAAATATATGCGAAAATTAGTTGAAGATACTTTCTTTGTACATTTCGATATCCCGGAGTGATTTTCGGCTGCGTTTCTTTGGAAATTCCTACCGTTTTTCTAAAATCGTCAATTGAAATACAGATATTTTAAAGATTAACGCTTTTTTACTTTTTTTCATATTCTAGTTTCTATTATTAGTTTCCACTCCCACTCGACAGAAGATCATATTTAGCCCCGCCCACCCACCCCATCTCCTTTTCAATGATTGATTTTATCCGATGTGAATCAAATGAATGATCTTATACTGAACAGAAATAAAATTGGTCGTTAGAATGACAAAAGAGGAGGTGGGAGGAGCTAGTACCTGCTAAGGCGAGAGTAATTTCGGCTTCGTTTCCTTGGAAATTTTTACCGTTTTTCTAAAATCGTCAATTGAAATACTGATATTTTAAAGATTAGCGCTTTTTTGCTTTTTCACATCCTAGATTCTATTATTAGTTTCCACTCCCACTCGACAGAAGAACATATTTAGCCCCGCCCACCCACCCTGTCTCCTTTTCAGTGATTGATCTCATCTTAATCTTATACTGAAAGGAAATAAAATTAGTTGTTAGAATAAGAAGAGAGGGGTGGGCGAAGCTATTACTTGCTAAGATAAGACTGATTTGGCAAATGACATACCTTCCAAGAAAATAGAGGGCGGGTGGGGGGGCTAGTACTTGGTAAGGTAAGACTGATTCTGGCACATGACATATCTTCTAACAAAATAGAGGGTGCGTGGGCGGGGCTAGTATTTGATAAGTTAAGACTGCTTTCGGCACTTTTGACATGTTCGATCATTTTTCAAATATACGCGGAATTTAGTTGAAGATATTTTCTTGTACATTTCGATATCCAGAAGTGATTTTCGGCTGCGTTTCTTTCGAAATTCCTACCGTTTTTCTAAAACGCCAATTGAAATACATATATTTTAAAGATTAACGCTTTTTTACTTTTTTCATATTCTAGTTTCTATTATTAATTTCCACTCCCACTCGACAGAAGAACATATTTAGCCCCGCCCACCCACTCTGTCTCTTTTTCAGTGATTGATCTCATCTTAATCTTATACTAAAAAGAAATAAAATTAGTGGTTAGAATAAGAAGAGAGGGGGTGGGCGAAGCTAGTACTTGCTAAGATAAGACTGATTTGGCAAATGACATACCTTCCAAGAAAATAGAGGGCGGGTGGGCGGGGCTAGTACTTGGTAAGGTAAGACTGATTCTGGCAAATGACATATCTTTGAATAAAATTGGAATGACCTTGCAGTAGAATTTCAAAAATAACCTACACCTACTTATAAAGCGTAAGAATATGTGAAAATATACAGGGTATGACATTTTAAAAAATCAACTTATGTTACGCCTTAAAAACAGAACACTTTGTATAGCTGCAAATAATTTTATAACTTTGGTTTTTAAGCTGTTTTTATTTCTATTAATAGTAATAAATTTTGCCAGCGGATTAAATGCAATTTGCATATCTCGTATTTTTGATAAATGACAAATAAATGATAATCTAGAAAAACATATTATAATAAATGTAAATAATAATATTTTCCAAGAGAGTAACTAGTTAGTCAATAAAATAGCAAGTTAATAGAGTAATAGAATACACCGACATAGTTAGTTTTAATTTGTAAATGTGTAGTTTAAGTCCAAATATGTATCTATTATATAAGTTATAAGTGTTGTAAGAAATGATAGAAATAAAATATTCATGTGTAAAGAAGTAATTTTATGGTTTCTAGTATGTACGGCCATGATGACTCATTGTCGGTGACGCCGGCCGGAGAAAAGCCTGGAAGCGGATGTCGCGATGGGTGTTTCAAGACAACCCTAGAAGCGATGACGGAGACCTTCGAGAAGGACCGCGTGGCTATTTAAATGGGTAACCACCGCCGAGACCAGTTAGTGTAGTCCAGACAAGTCTAGTCAAATCCATTCCAGTCGAGTCGGAATTATTCTGTACATAATCGCTGTATAGTTAGTCGTATAGATTGGAGATACTGAGAAATAAAATTGTTGAGTTTTACCCACGCCGATTTTATTCACCGACCAACGTAACAATATATGCCAAATTTCTCTACATATTTTTTTCTGCATTTAATTCCAAGCTTTACTCATTATGTCAGCTGATATACAAAGAAGTTTTTCTTTATGTAAAATGTTATCGATTTATGCTTTATGTAGAAATATGTTACATGAAATGAAGGTAATTACAGCCATTTCTCGTGTTTTCGTTTCCGAGTCGCCTGAGGTAAATTTCATATGTGCATAAAACTGGCGTATTTTGACAAATATTTGTGCATATAAATCCGCTCTTTAGCTAATTAATTAATGAGATATACTCATAGAGGAGCGTGTGCTTAGGGACTCACTTTATAATGAATCCCATTAATTAACAACAGCGATGAAATATTATTTGCCGTATAACTCTCGTAAATAACATTAACTCATTATTTAATTCAGATGTGTGTATTTAAACACAATTTTGTTCACAAAAAATCACCCAACAATTATCCGCCTAGAGGCTCGTCCTTCAATTTTTTTATATTAAAAATGAATTTATAAGCTCTCGGAGATCTTCCTGGATCACGATGTCAACTTATCGTCCAATCCACTTTTTATAAAAAAAAAATCCAATTTATTTTTTATATTTCAATTGATTTATTAAATAAAATAAAAATTAATAAAGATATCTTTCCTGAACAATATCAACATAGACTAGGCAATTGTATGTATAATACTGCAAAAATCAGCCATCTCCACCACAATCTAGAAATACTTATATGCCACCGGTGCATGTACATGGGGCGGCGCGACCCTCGCGAAGGCCGGCGGCGGGAAAACTGGCGCTACTGGCACGGGGGCCGGCGCCACTGGCACCGGAGCCACCGCCACCGGAGGAACCACTTTGACGATCGGAGCTTTCCTCACTACGGCGTTGAATCCATGAATAGGATCAGCGGTATAATCCACAATGCGTTTCGTACCATCGGGATCGATAACGCTGTACTGCCCCCGGACGTAGCCGCCGCTGCGACTTTCAACTTGACTTTTAAAGTCTCCGGTTAAAGAATCCTTGACGTCGTATGCAAATGAATATAAAGGACTAGGAACGAAGTTGGTTAATGGAACGACAGGTGCCCCGACGAGTCCGCCATTCGCGAAAGCCAATAAAGAGACGAGGATGAAGAACTGCATTGGAACATAAAATAAATCAGTGGCACAATAAAATACACCTACGAGCTTACCGTCGACGTCATGATGGGTGATAATAGATGACTGATAGTGAAACTGCGTTAGTGCTGGGTTTTTATAGGTGGCGGTGTACCGAGCGAGTAATTGGATGAAGTATGTGCATGCTAATTGATAGTCCTGTGTAATAGTTGGCTTCCTATATCCATTTTTGGCGTGCGATTCGCGATTTCGTTGGTGTTCAATAAAATGGTTTAGTTTTCGCGATCATAAGTACGTGAAAATCGTTTAGAATCGACTAGATGACAAAAATTTTATAAAATTGTTGATCAATTAGTCTAGGTGGTCGGTTAAGCAGAAACAAAAAAAAGGATAATGGTCCTAAACCTCAACCTTGGAATACACCTGACAAGAAAAAATTGGAAAGTTAGAACTTTTAGTTATTTTTTTTAATAAATCTCTGCTGAAAACTTTTGACATTGAAATAAATGCGTTCAAAAACGAATCAAAATTGCTTGGTAATTCTAATTCTAATTCTCAATTCCGGAAAAATGACTCTTTTTGGTTTAGAGTTATAATAGCCGAAAACAATGCTTTAATAGACTATCTTAAAGCATTGGTTTGTGGGTTGGTGTTCCTGAACTCATAATGTGGTAGAATTAGAGGGTGTAGGATGATAATCGTAAACACTACCTGACCTCAGCAAAAGCTATATTTTCTGTCCTTAGAGAGTCTTGTTGGGATTTGTGATTTACCTTCTCTAATTCTATGTAATGTGACATTATTCAAATTTAACAGATAATAATTGTCGTTTGTCACCATGGAACCATTTTCATGTTATTTCTTTTTACTTATGTCGACCAAATCTGAAAGTAAGGCTGTCAAAATAACTAACTTAATTATCGTGATTTTTAAAATAAATAAAAAAAAAGTACGTTGAAGGTTATTTCGACAGAACTTCCCACGCCCCTGAAGTACAGTCCAACAAATCCCGCTTCTTTAAAAAATTGCAATACATATTTCATTTTGCGACATTTTATTTGTGACAATCAATATAAAAAAAGAATCGGCAAAAAAGATTTATTTTTCGCTCTCTAGACCCCATGAAACGTCGATAAAACAGGAAAGTAGCAGCTAGGCAAATAATAAAAAAGTAATTGTAGAACCCAATTTTAAAGTGTGCTTAAAAAATTTACGAAATTAATGTTTTGAAATTTTGATAGGGCACTAACTAGTAAGAATTAAGTGATTACAGATCAATAAGTAAAATTTATTTGTTCGTCCCCTCTATACAGTTAATGACGTCATAATTTGTGCCTCGATTAATATATTTTTATTTAATTTTTAAAGGTGAAGGAATCAATTATTTTGTTTGATTATCTTAAAAATGGTTTTTCTAATTTTTTCTAACATAAAAAACAATAGAATTTTTTATATTTTTTTTATCTAAAAGACAATTACAGGAAGAAGATGTAAGCTAAGGAAGTATTGTAATCCAGTCCATCACGCGACTGGCTACTTTCATGTTTACTCGATGTTTCTTGATCTCTAAAGTACGAAGAAATAGATTTTCATTAGACAGATAATGTCCAAAATTACCGGACTGATTGTTGTCAAATTTTGTATGTATGTTAGGCTTTTCATGTAGATGGTAAAACGCTAACCAACTTTGTCTGATCATTCCGACCAACAATGAAATGACGTCATATTCAAATTTTACAATAGTAAATATTGTTTCAATTTTATAAAATAACGTCCTCTTCCACTTGTGGTTTATGAAACCGTGTTAAGTTATTTTTGACTCTAGATATTCAGATTTTTGGGAAAAAAGTCAAGATTGTATACCATTTTCAATTTATTTTTGAAATTGCACAATCGAATGCTTCGAAATCCTGAAAACGTTTTGAGCTTATTGGAAGCATAGTAAATCGTTAATCAAAATTTATCCGTTCATGCCTCTTAGCCTCTTACAATTTTATTGAATAAATGTTATTTATTGATATTATGTTTTTAATGTAACAAAGTAAGCTAGTCCTGACTTTTTGGTTTATGAATCCGTGTTGAATTGTTATAGTAGTCATTGAGATTTTTGATAAAAAAATGTGAAACAATTTTTTGATTTCTCAATTGTTCACATTTTTCAAATACTCAATTTTTTGATATGTTACTTTTAAGATCATTCAATTTCTCCATTCTTCATTGCTCGATTTTTCAAACTTTCGATTTTTCGTTTTTTTTTTTATTTTTTGATTTCTCAGTTTTCTGATATTTCAGTTTTCGATTTTTCAAATTTTCGATTATTCAGTTTTTCGATTTTTCAATTTTTCAAGTTTTGGTGTATCTAAATATACGATTTTTCAATTTGTCGATTTTTCTGTATCTAAATTTTTCGAAATTTTAATTATTTGATTTTTTAAATTTCAATTTTTAAATGTTTTTATTTTTGAATTTTTCGATTTTTTGGGCTTTCGATTTTTGGATTTTTCCATTTTTGGATTTTTAAATTACTCAGTTTTTCGAAATTTTTGATTTTTGTTTAATTTGTTCAATTTTTCAATATTTATTTTTTTTCAATTATTCCGTTTTTCGATATTTCAGTTTTGGGATCTTTCAATTTCTCGGTTCTTTATTGCCCGTTTTTTAAACTTTCCATTTCTCGTTTTCTTTACTTTTTGATTTCTCAATTTTCCGATAGTTCAGTTATACGATTTTTCAATTACCTATTAGTCGCCTAATAATCGATTTTTTTAATTTTCAATTTTTTAATTTCTCGATTTCCTAATTTTCACTTCTTCCACATATTTTTTTTTAATTTTTTGATGTCTCGACTTCTTGGTATTTCGATTTTTCGAGTTCTCGCTTTTCTGATTTTGATGATTAAAATTTTTGATTTTTCGATTTTTCAGTTTTCCGATTTTTCAGTTTTTCGGTTTTTAAATTTTCCTATCTTTCAATTTTTCGATTTTCTATTTTTCATATTTTTCAATTTATTGGTTTTTTAAATTTTAAAATTTTTTGCATTTTCCAATTTTGAATTTTTCGACTTCGGTGTGTTTCGATTTCTTCATTTTTCAATTTTCCGACATTTCAGTTTTGGGATTTTTCAATTTTTAGTTCTTTTAATTTTTCGCACCTTCATTTTCTTTTTCAAATCTTAGATTTGAATTTTAATTTCGAAATTTTCCGATATTTCAGTTTTAGGATTTTTCAAATTTTCGAAAATTCAATTGTTTTATTTTTATCAATTTTTGTCGTTTCTAAATATACAATTTTTCGATTTGTCGACTAATAATCGATTATTTTAGTTTTCCATTTCTCGATTTCTTGACCTCTCGACGTTTTGATATCTTGAGTCTCGATTTTCCGATTCTATTTTTCAGTTTTTCAAGATTTTTTTAATTTTCAATTTTTCAATTCCTCGATTTCCTGTTTTTCACTTGTTCGATATTTTTTTTAATTTTCTGAATTATTAAATTTTCGGTTTTTCAAATTTTGAGTTTAAAATTTTTGATTTTTTGATTTTTCAGTTTTTCGGTTTTTTATTTCTCGATCTATCGAGCATTCGGTTTTTCGATTTTTCGATTTGTCGATTTTTCTATTTTTCTATTTTTGGGATTTTTAAATTTTAAAATTTCCCAATTCTTCAATTTTGAATTTTTCAATTTTGGTGTACATATTTAGATTTCTTCCCTTTTTTTGGATTTTTCGATATCCTGGACCTTTAGATTTTTCGATTTTTCGGCTTTTCAATTTTGGGATTTTCCAATTTTTAGTTCCCTTAATTTTTCGCACCTACAATTTTCCGTTTTTTTTTTACTTTTTAATTTCTCAATTTTCCGATATTTCAATTTTACGATTTTTCAAATTTTCGATTACTCAATTTTTTGATTTTTCAATTTTTGTCGTTTCTAAATATGCGATTTTTCGATTTGTCAACTAATAATCGATTTTCCCATTTCTCAATTTCTCGACCTTTCGACGTTTTGATTTCTTTATTTTTCGATTTCCCGACTAATAATCGATTTTTTGATTTTCTCATTTCTCGATTTCTCGACCTTTCGACATTTTGATTTCTTGACTTTTCGATTCGTCAATTTTTCAATTTTTCCCTTTTTCAGTTCCTCAATTTTTCTATTATCCAATTTTTCAAGAATTTTTTAATTTTCAATTTTTCGAATTCTTAAATTTCCGAATTTTTGATTTTTCGACTTTTCTATTTTTAGATTTATCGATTTATCAGATTTTCTATATTTCGGCTTTGGGATTTCTCATTATTTCGATTCTTTAAATTTCGAGTTTTCGACTTTTCGACTTCTCGATATTTCTAAAACTATATTTCTTGAAACTGCAATTTTCTGATTTTTTAAATTTCAATAAGTAGTACTTTAAATTTTTCGATTTTTGGATTTTTTACATTTTGGATTTTTCAATTATTCAATTTTTGAAATTTTTGATTTTTGATAAAATTTTTAGATTTTTCAATTTTTAGATTTTTTAGATACTCAATTTTTCGATATTTTAGTTTCAGGATCTTTCAATTTCTCGATTCTTCAATTAAAAGATTTTCCAAACTTTCGATTTCTCGATTTTTTTTACATTCTGATTTCCTAGTTGTCCCACATTTCAGTTTTACGATTTTTCAAATTTTTGATTTTTCAATTTTTCAATTTTTGGCGTTTCTGAATATACGATTTTTAGATTTGTCGACTAATAATCGTTTTTTTTTATTTTCCTATTTCTAGATTTCTCGATTTTTTCAGTATTTTAGTTCTTCGATTTTTCGATTTTTCAATTTTTCAAGATTTTTTTATTTTTCAATTTTTCGATATTTAAAATTTCAGATTTTTCAATTTGGCTATTTCTTGATTTTGACTTCTTCGATATTTCTTTTAATTTTTTTAATTTTTAAATTTTCAATATTTCGATTTTTTGATGTCTCGATTTCTCGGTATTTCGATTTTTCAAGTTCTCGCTTTTAGATTTTTCGGTTTTTCAACTTTTGATGTTAAACATTTCTTATTTTTCGATTTTTCAGTTTATTGTCCTTTATTATTTTTCTAACTTTTAG